TCGTTTGTGGCAGACCATGATGTTCACAATGGTGCAGCCGTGCAGTGCGATGCTTGGGGCCACTGCTTGCTCACTCAGAGTTCGAGAAAGGGGGGTGCCGTAACACTTCCCAAGTGCCCACGGGGTTAGGATGTGGCTTGCAAGGAGCTCTTTTGTATTACTTCTTCATGAAGTGAGTTGTGTTTAGTGTGACTCATTATTTCTTTATCACGTGCCTCGTATGTGTTGATGTGGCAATCCCTCTAAGTGAAAAAAGTGTAAACGTGTTCAGTAAACATGATAAGCTGTAAATCACATAATAATAATATAGGAATATGCAGTAGCATATATGATTTTCGTACAATTTACAAGTTCTGATATGTGTATTGGACACATTCCAATGAAATGTATACTGGGGTCTATACTTCATTTCACCCTTCGTCCGAGCGCGGCGGACGCTACCAGCCAATCCAGCGTCGAGAGAGCGTCATGTGACCTTGAACTCCACATAACCGAAACGTCGCATTATACTCTCCCGGCGCCAGATTGGCTGGGGTGGCCCAGCATCCACTGGGCCACCCCAGCAGGTGCCCATTTCATGCCAAGCACCCTTCACCAAGAGTGTTAGCAAGCACCCTTTGTGAAGGGTGCTTGCCTGAACGCCATAAGGGTGTTAGCCCAGGGACAAACTGATTTACACCCTTAAGTGTGTAAAAACCTTTACTGTGTACTCAAGGCTTCTCTTTCCCATTAGTGCCAGTAAGCTTGTGTAAAGTGAAAAATATTGTAACTGAACAGTAGAGAGTTTTAGTAGATCGCTCCCATGACTCCGATAACGATACCCGATACTCCGCCACCGCCTCCCTTGCGCATGCATGGTATCATTATCGGGACTATCGGAGGTATCGGAACGATCTAATAAAGCTCTCTATTGTTGCACTGTCCCTTTACCTAAAGTTACTTCTTTTTATTTTTTTTTACTGCTGCACTACCGGGGGATCTTAATGGTGGGACAACATACCATCCCTGAACCTACGACGACTGGAATGGTGGTCGCAACCAGCGTCGTAAGACTTAGTACTCAAAAAGTCCATTACATATTGAGCAGCCTTGCAGCAGCTTCGCGTGTCATTACTATGTAAGAGTTTCTGGGGTTGAGTTATAAAACATGACCTCCCGAAACTCTTGACAGTCTTCTGAGGAACACTGAGGCAGTCTGTGATAAATTATGTATTAAGTGTAAAACTACAGCCACTTTCGGCCAGAGTGGCCAGTGGCTGGCCGAAAGTGACTGGCCAAAGGTGAATGGCAGGTCACTGGCCTAAAGTGAAAGGCTAGTCACTGGCCAAATGTGAATGGCCAGTCACTGGCCAAAGGTGAATGGCAGTCTCTGACCTAAAGTGAATGGCCAGCCACTGGACAAAGGTGAATGGCCAGTCACTGGCCTAAACTGAATGGCCAGTCACTGGCCTAAAGTGAATGGCCAGCGACTGGCATAAAGTGAATGGCAAGTCACCAGACGAGGACGAAAACACTTCTATTGCCGAGCACTTTGGCCGAGCTTGGGCCATCGAAAATCTGGTTGGCCATAGTACACTTGCCAGCGATGGCCCATTCACAACGTGCTGCTTGGGTCGCTACTCATTTCTAAATCTTCAATGTATAAAACAACTCATCTTGAAGTGCAGAACAGCGAGCGGATTAAAGAAAACTGGAAAGCAATGGCAGGGGAAACGGTTCTGGCAACGCACCGAAGGGAGGGGTAATGCCCGAAACTTGGCGCGCGAACAAGCTGACACCCGTGTCATGGTTTCAGGGGACGAACACCCAGATCAGCCAACCGGACCCACCCACCCAACTCAGCACCTACGAGAAGATCACCACTTACTATCCGGAGCAACGGCGCACTTTACCACCACCTCATCAAACGCTTGACAAAGGGGAACAGGTCAGGTGTCGCCTGCTTCAAACCAACACTTATCCATCGCCATCCAGGCTCAACCTGCTTCACCCCCAGCTCTACCCCTCACCCACATGCCCCAAATGTCACCAGGACCAAGGCACCAATCTACCACATGGTCTTGGCCTGCCCGAAACATCCAAAACTACAAGACGCAGCACAACTTCAAAACCGCCTCAACTCCCTGGAGACGGCCATCAGATCCTCAGACGCAAAAGATCAGCGCCAGCTGGTTATCCTTGCTGATGAGGCGAGCAATTCTATACTTGCATAATTATTGAAGAGACCGCATTCATGTATACATGGATGGTTCTACAAAAAATGAGGGAGTTTTACGTGCCAAACCAACGACGGGCATCTGGCACGCCCCAGCGGAGGACTGAGGATTGATTTCGACCACCTGGGGACCTCGACCACCTGGGGATCTTTCGACGTGCAACCGGAAACTCGGTTACCACGGCGCCTTCTCCGCAATAAGCCTCCGTCAGATTGCGGGCACCTCGGCCGGTATTCGAACCCGCCACATGCAGATTCGTAGGCCGGCGCCCTCGCCTCGGAGCCACCGAGGCGGCTCAAATGAGGGATCAACCTCAGCTTTTGAAATACCATCAATGCCAATGAAGAAATGTATTTGTTTGTCCCTCAGAACGTCCTCTACTACTACAGAACTTTATACAAGTTTTGCGTCAGTGGAGTATAATACCAAAATCGGTGCGTTATTTGCACGGATTCCAAAGCAGCCCTCGGTGCTCTTTCGTTGATGAACTCTAGAAATTCGACGTATGCATTGGTCTACCAGCTAGCTGATATTGTCACGTGTTACAAATGATAAGGCGACGGATAACTCAAGGTAACTAAACGTTTAATGGGGAGAACTTGTGCCAAAAAGAAAATAGATAAAGACTAGCGTCGCAGGCGTCGATCGCGGCGAATCACCAGGATCGAACGCTGGGGCGAGATTGACTCCGGCTCGCCACGCGGAGCCCTATGTAGACGAGTGGGCTTGCGCAGAACATTCTAACCCCGAATAAGTGACAGGGTTATCGAATTTACCAAAACGCGACATTAGAGAAACAAGTAAAGGGTGTATCCGCGGACAGGCATCGAACCTCGGCTTTTCGCGTGGGAGGCAAGCAAGATAACCGTTAGGCCACGGGCGCGCTGCTTACTTGCCCAGCTGCGCACGTGGCAATATGATTGATCGGGCCGTAAGCAATGGTCATTCATTAAAGCTGCGGTGGATACCAGGAAACAGCGGAATATCAAGAAACATGGAGGCAGACAAACTAACCGCACAGTGCACAGGCATTGGAAAGCACTTAGGGAATTTTTTTTTTTTTTTCAAATTAGAAATAATTTTTTTTTAATTGCACACCATTCTAAAAAAATTGCAGTTGACATATAGTTTCATGAGGCAGGAGGGCAGTCTACTCTCTTCCTGTCTCTTCGTGTTGGATTTAGAGTTACGGTTTCGTTTCCCAAGTGATAAACCGAGAAAATTTCAAACAATACTGCATCGCCTACGACTGAATGTTGCTTTCACGAGAGAATGTCGCTATAAAATTATTGGAATCGATGATTCAGAATGTTCTTCCGGTGAGGGTGTGGAAACTATCAAACATATTTGTATGAACTGCCCTCGCTACGATCGCAATCGGTCCAAACTAAAAGTACGGTTTACTATCCTGGATAAAAGGCCATTCACCGTTAGTAAATTACTAGGGCCATGGATAGACAAATCCTAACTTTTGATTTAATATGATTGAACTTTGTTGTGCAACTAGTCAATATGACAATATATGTGTACGTGTGAACGAATTGGTGACAGTTGGTAAAACTCGAAGTGACACTTCATACCAAGAACATAAGTGCTGTTCGTTTAGTGTTTTCTCCTATGTGTCAATGTATGCCCGTATTGATGTTTACAACCGGTGCGTGTTATAATTCAAGGATCATTTCCAGTTTAAAGCTGGAGTCGCACTGCGTATCTATCGTGCGGGGCGCGGGACGTTTTTGCTTCGTGTGCGGCAGTCCAGTCGCGTCGCTCGAGCGGACTTATGTTTCCGGAGGTTACTTCTTGTTTGGCTTGTGTGGCAAGGCCGTTGTTCGCGGGGCGGGCGATGCTTGGGCGGTGTCTGCGGGCTGAGTGGTATGGGGTCTGGGGGCGGTGTGACTTCAGCTTTAGACAGATTCATATTATTTTCCGTTTTAGGGAAAGGAGGGGGGGGGGGGGGGGAATACGCTGAGGTGTATAGCTCCATCTATAAGTCTGAAGTGTTTAGTTTCTACGTCGAAAATATTTTCTTCGATGGTAATAAAGTAGCCAGTCACGCCTTAGAGTGACTAACATCTGGATTTATTATTCGTAACACATGTTTAAGTATAAGTTGATATCAAGAACACTCCGATTTCTACATGTTCAATTTCTACAAGTAACGTCATGAAACAACTGCTTCTCCCCTTCCCCGTCCTTCACACATTTACATTCACGTATCAATAAGATATCTTCTAATACAAAAATATAATATATCGAGATTTCTCGAACTGTAAGTTGATGTCATCGTTTTGTCTAAAATAAACCATCTTATACCTTTTTTTTTACTGAGTTCATTCACGTCAGAAATAAATTTACAAGCTAAATTGAGATGACTTATTTTTCCCAAACTACGGTGAGTATACTACACGCATATTTTGTAATTATAATAAATTTTCAGACAAGCTAATTCAAAACACCCGATTCACATCTGACAGGTTGAAAATATCTTCTTCTGATGTGTTCACATGGATCCGGCACCCGGCAGTATAGTATTAAGTAGCCAACAAAGGAGTATAGGCGAAACAAAGGAGCGTAGGCTAAAGGGTAGGATTTTAATACAGAGTAGAATTAATTTCAGCTAAGAGGGTTCAGAAATAGATTTCTACAATGTAACCTCAACCTGTTACTTAATGCCCTTAATAAAAAGACTAAGTCGATAGCAATGATCATCACCAACCCATCGATTACAGCTACCAATTTTAATTTACTTTATCACCCACATTTACTGAATCATTGTTTATCTAGGCACTTAGACCAGTGGTCCGGGTTCATAGGGACGTGGATAAGAAAGTTGAGCTCTGGGACAAGTTTAAGCAAGGTGTGCAGTTTCACGAAGAAGAACTGAAGGCAAGAAGAACTCTCTTCCTCTCAGGTACGTTATTTAAGAATATGAGGCACATTTTTTGACGCCCTCTATTACATTATAAATAAAATAATTGCGTTTCGTGTATGTTCAGACAGAGGGAAGCGGACAACGGAGACACCAGGCACCATGGAATAGGAAGCTTCTGGAGGCGACATAAGACCACCAGGGGTGAAGCCAGAAGTGTCGAGTGACACACCCCCAACTACGGCCAAAATCTAGAGACGGGCTCCGAGAGTGACCAAAACAACTTTTGGCGCCAAGTCCGCTCTCCTTTTCGTTCAATAGCGTCTCTTGGTTTTGGTCATCGTCGGGAGCTTGTCCCTTCACACTTCTGGCCTCACCTCTGGTGTCTCCGGAAGCTTCCTACCTCCATGCCAGACACCATCGGATATATGCATGGGCGTCCGCAGAACTTTTTCCAGGGGGGTGCACACTTATCCTCTGCGGACGACCATGTACAGTGGAGACATCATGCATATACCGTATATGCATGATGTCTCCACTGTACATAAGACATTTAACGAGCGCAGTACGTCTTCTCTATAAAAGTACGCCTGCCGCCGAATACCACTATCTTTAAACTGTACACTAAGTGGCAATATGAGCTGGTCCGGTTTAGTGCTAGGCGAAAGGGAATGATCCAGAAGCTCGGCAGACACATTGAGGTTGGGGTACGCGTGTGTTAGCTGACGGTGGTCTCTGAGAGGATCCAGGTGCAAATATGCACTATCCCAGAGGTCTGGGAAAGTCTTTTCAGACAGAGGAGCGAGTGGTGGAAGCAAACAGGGTGATTAGGGGGATGAGCCAACGACCTCAGTACGGCGTATTGGAAGTAAACAGGGTGGTGTGTGAGGCTCGCTCCGATCCTTTTGCACGGGGCATCCACTACAGTGGAGCCATAGGTAGCACGATAGGGGATAAGATTGGGCCTCATGTCGTAGATTTTTGGGGACTCACAGAGCCTGATGGCACCGGTGTAGACATATCGGTTCCAGGGACGGGGTAAGCTCCTGAGCGTGGGTACCGCAAGAGTAGCAGGGGGAGAGCAGGAGGAAGCCCCGTAGAAATAAGATAAAAAATCGCCTTAATATAGGCTTCAAAAGCACGCAGGGAAGTAGAAAGAGAATGTAGTGGGAGGAGATGGGTGAACAATTAAAGGCTGAAAATTTCACGGTGTAGGGAGTAGCGAAACTTACTTTAGAGAAGAAGAGGAGCCACCGTACATGCCAGGCTACTCCTGGATGGGGTGCAACCGGGGGGAGGGGGGGGGGGGAGGTTAACGCGAAGGCGGAGGTCTAGTCCTGTTAGTTCAAGGACAGGGCTGGGAAAGAGAGAAGGAAAGCTGCAGAGAACACTTATGGCTGAAAGGTAGGGTACCAGGTCTGAACACACTTGTGGGGTTTGCATACCTGAGAACAGGAAATGGCTCAAAGGTATAAAATCCAGAACACTTTACATGTATATCGAGGGACATCAGATAAATTGGCTTTAGTGAGGAAATAATTACCATAGGAGACATGAATGCCCACTAAGAAGAGTTTGACGGATTCACAGATACAACCGGAAAGTTCCTAGAAGATTGCTGTGATGCCCTGGACCTAGTGTTAGTTAATGCACAAGTAAAATGCGACGGCAAAATAACGTGGGAACGAAACAACTCACACTCAACAATAGACGACTGCCTCGTGTGCCACACACTGTATGACAGGCTAGGAAGTATGGAAATACGTTAATAAGGAATGTACAAAAAAACTTATAGAGTGACATAAACAAATTAAGATTAAATTTGGCACATTCAAACTAGACCAACAAGCTCAGGAACGAGCGGGTAAGCCGAAACTAAGTGAAGATTAAATACAAAAAAAGTCTCTAAAAGTATTGAGAACATCGTATTGAAACAACCAAATAGAAAGTGGATGTATAAGGATTTATTTCAAACATATTAAAAAAAGGAAACATTAGAGCAGCATCGAATTAAACAAAGAGGAAAACAAAAACGAACAAAGAAACCAAAAAGCTGATGGGATAAGGAGGTCAAAGCAGCCATATTACGGAGCCAAGAGGCATCTAGGGAGCATAGGTGGGCAGAGAAAAGAGAAGCCTTGCCAGCTGAAGTAGCATCAAAATGGGATAACTTCCAAGAGTGGAAAAGGGGACATCAGCTTTAATTCGGGCCAAAGTTGGGAGGGCAAGAGTGCAGAAGTGCAGTGGATGATGGATAATAAATTAAAAGAAAGATAGGAATGCTGCAAAAAAAAGTTTTGGGATCACATTAAAGCGAAGGGGAGAAAGACAGTGGGTTCTTAACACATACTGATCACACAAGAGGGGAAAAGAGTAGAGCTTGAAGAGGCACGAGATTACTAGGCGGACAATCGAAGAGGCTTTCTCCCAGCTTGTGCAGAGGGGGACAGCGGATAGCACTGACAGCAGCAGTGTAGAGGAGGAGCAGAATTGTGTAAACATTTAGAAGACCACAAGAGAATGGGATAAGGCTGAAAGTAATGTTCCAACAGGTACTGCGTGCAGCAATGTCGCACCGCGCGGCCGGCCTCGTCGGAGGACACCGGGGCGCGCTGCTTGTAGGAATGCGCTGCGTGTAGTAATGCTTTACGTAACAAGTCTGAAGTCTCCTCCTGTAATTTTTTTTAACCGCATTGGTTTTGTGTTGCCTTGGCCTGAACACCACTGAACCGGCTCCGACTGCCGCTTTCTGTACATGTCTATAACTGACATATCCCTGTTAGCGCTCCATAAATGCTTGAAAGTTGTATTGCTGAAATCTGTGAAGTCATTTGATAGATTGCAAATGCATGTTTGCTCGAGTCTTCAGAAAATGAACCACCTGGATAGATAATCTTCTACATTCCCCTTTTGTAATATTATAGAAGTCATCGTTAGTCAGCCTGCCACCATCTTCATTCTTGCTTGACAAGCCTTACAGTTTTTTCTCTCATAATGTCTTGATCAAGAGGTGCTATGGTGCTCTGCGCACAAAGCCGAAGGAAAAAATGAAAAGGACAGACTCTTGTTTTGTTTGTTTTTTTGCTATGAACATGTTAAGATATTACATAAGCATGGTTTCTAATATCAAAAAGTAATTATTGGGAGCACTGCTATGTCAAGACCGAATGGCAGATCTTGAAATATGCAAACCACTTTGCAGCGCGTTGGCAGATATTTAATTTCTTTCAATTTGCAGGTTAGGAATACTAGTTTTTTTTTTTACGTTTCAGTTCCAGACAATACTTTTAAACTAGCGATCTTGTTGTTTATTGTTCCAGACAGGCAATAACGTGACAGCAACGTATCGTAAATTTTGTGCCTTCAAAAAAAATATATATGTATTGTATAACTTTATGACGCTCCGCTTAATGTGCCTCACGAAAACGAAGTGACGAAACTGATTTAGTATACAATAGCCAGGAGAAATCGGCCCTCTTTCGAATGTTTTTGTTCTCGTATTTTAGGGGTCATTGCACTTTTACCGTGCATATAACACGCCAATCACACTGAAAGTCCAGAGAGCACCATCTAGCTTAGGGGTATATTCACCCTACTCAAACAAGTGTTTAATTATAATGCCATTGACCTAAGAGAAGATTCAACAGTAATAAAGACGTTATACAGATTATTTCACGCTAAATACTCTACACAAAACGATACTGCTGAATCATTTAGTGCCGAGTCTGCGATAAATGTTAATTATTTGTTTTCCTGCGAATTAAGCGCGGGAGCATTTCATTCATAAATACACCTACTTGTTGTTTTTTTCGTTTCTTTTACGCGTCCAATGCCATTCTGAAACGTCACAATGGTATAGAAAGAAGTGTCATCAGCGCGGTTAATTACACTTGTTTCCAACTGCGTATCCTACCTGTGGCCTCTTTTACTCCAACACAGCGCTGCGAGTGCTGCGGAAATACTATATATATTATACTTCGCTGCTAGACCCTTTGAATAGATAGGTTATCAATCCCGACGATTTCGCCCACTCGCCCCAAGAAAGGGCTAATTAAAGAAAAAATAGCTTGATGGCGGGAGCTGACGAATAAAACTGACTAAGCAGCTTCACTGGTCCTTAGTCCCAGTCAGGTACAAAGCAGTGGCGAGAAAAAAATGAACATGAACACTAAAACTCACCATAATATAAGTACTTTATAATTTTATAAATGTGTGTGTTCCATCACAAACAAAGAACTAGAACCATAAGGAATAATTAGTTGACCGTAGTAGTTTAGATCTTCTGCTATTTTTCTTTCCTTGTTTACTTTTAGGAGAAAAACCCGGATTTTCTGACTACATGATCTGGCCGTTCTTCGCAAGGGCGATTGCAATTTCAACTGTCTTCCCCGATTTGAAGCTGCCAACCGCTCAAGAGTCCCCACTGGTCGTCAGGTGGATGGAGGCGATGAAGAAAGATGGCGCTTCTGGCGCCCTTCCGCCCGAAGATAATTTCGTAAAATACATAAAGTCCTCCCTGGCTGGAAACGCTGATCCCGATGTGGGGCTATAATTTCGAGACAGGCATTTGATGATGTCCAGGTGGTGCATTTCGATATATTTTTAATCGAGCTCTTACTTACTCTTGGGTAATTTAACAGGCATCAGAGAGGTGTGGGTGGCTCTTTTTGCGGACGTCTCAATTTTGTACATGAGGAGTTTCGATACATGACAAAGAAAGTGCAATAAAACACTAATATCAATTTTTTCGGCTATAGTAGCGTAGCGGATAAGACAAAAACAGTTAACTACCTACGTACAACCCTCGTTTTCTCCAAAAATGTATCCCCCTAGCGTTCAACTCTCCTAAAACTGCGAAGGGAAGCCTCATTCAGCCTTTTTGTCTGGTTGAGAGAACGCAAAGCGTGGAAAGGACGTAGAAAAGAAGAAGGCGGAAAAAAGTGGAAAGCGCAAGGTTAAAGCCCGAATTTAAGAAACTTAAAGCAGAAGACTGGAAGATATGAAGTATGGGTATGCAAACTAAGTCAGCCTGTAAACTGTAAAAAAGATGACAATTGCTTAGGGTGACCACCCGTCCCGCGACTCGCGGGACTGTCCCTCATCGAGGGCTCGTGTCCCACGTCCCGCGAGAAATTCCCGAATCTTCAAAATGTCCCGCATTTCACACTGTCGTAAAATTCACTCTGCAACTCATGGTGCTGCCGAGCAACGGGGCACGGAAAAGCGCTGAGGTCGCTGGTTATCGTGCGAATCGCAATGGTACGCCATTTTCTACACAAGAATTGCGGGAAGCGACCGTCGTTCTTGCAGGAGATCCGACGCGCATGCGCCGTTGTGCCTCTCCCTTTGGTAGGAAAATATTGTAAGAAAAAATTGTTCGCCAAAAGTTTAAATACAATTATTGTAATTATTTTCAAATTGCTGCTTCAATTTGAAAGGGTTGCTCTGGCATCTTTTTTTTTCTTCGGTGAAGCCAGTCACACAAAGCAAAAAGCCTGCAACTCACAAAAGTTGAAAAGGACATAATCTTAAAAATTTATGTAGGACCATGTTGATAAAAGTAAGCGTTGACAGGAAACAATAATTTGAAAAATATTTACGGTGTCTTATTTCCATTTAATACATTAAGTTCTGCTGCAACCGATTTTTATGTTTTCAGCTTCGACACATTTAATAACATACGTATTTAGCATTAAAAATGTGTCACTGGAAGTGAAAATTATTTGAACTTAATTGCTGCTGTACAATTTGTAGGTGTATAAACAGCACCGGATATTAAATCTGTTAACAGCCTCGGTTCGTGGTGTGTGTGTTAATAAACTTCCTCTAACCCCCCCCCCCCCCCCCCCCTGCCCCGCTTGTCCCGCATTTCGCTAGCAGGAAGGTGGTCACCCTACAATTGCTAGACGAAGTATATGCCAATTCTAAAGGGAGCTCAGTGTCTCTTAAAGGGATACTTCAACGAAATTTGAAATATTCCCGTCGGGTTCAAAAATAGGTTGAATATGATCTACAATATCCGTAAATGACAGTCGCACGGTTGTATTTTGAGCCTGGTGGCTGTATTTTTCGTTATAAATGGCCCACTCTGCCAAGCGCTCGGAGAAGGCCCAGTGGAGACCACGTGATATCCAACGCAATCGTGACGTAGGTCGTCTCGGGACGAGCAAAGCTACGGCGAGGCTGACGTCGAGAAGATGGCCTAGTCGTTCCAGCCACCGAAGCGGCTGCTTTTGTACCAATTTTGAGCGACGGGTTAATCTTCTATAATCTTGTAGGGAGACAATAGCGACACACAAAAGGCACTCTCGGGAAGCAGGGAGTTCCTCCTTCCCGTCCTCTCTCGTCGTGGCCGGAGGCGAGACACTCACCGTCACTAGCTGTCAAGGTTCCTAGACGGGCATTACAAGCGAGGCGTTAGCGACATCCACCAGGTGCTCTTTGCTAATCGTTTAATTCGTTTTAAAATTCCTTTTCGAGACTTTTTAATCAAGATATTGATATGTTCGATGTGATACTGCTCCTTTGAACATACATAAACCAAAAATGAGCACCAAAATTTTGTTGTAGTATCCCTTTAAGGCCAGGACAGGGATACTGCGAGAACGAGACTAAATATCAGGATATAGATACTTTTAGAGTGCGTGTAGAGGAGGATTTGACGGCTGAACAATTAATACTCTTTTGTAACAACCTTTACCGTGAACTTGAGGAAGGCAACACTCAGTCCGAATGTGTGCATGTCTGTTGTTTTTTTTCGTTCGCCTTGTCTAGGGCTGAAATTTTGCACCGATGGAGTCAATGCATTCGAGTTTAAGGGTGTGGGTCGCTCTACTATACTGCTGCCCAATCGGTCCCTGCCTGGTCCGCCCTCCCAAGAAGTCACACGAGCAAGAATGAATTCAAATCACTTTACTGTTTCGGCTGGTCGCTGTGCCTTGCCGTTGCAGTCCTCGTCCGTGTCTTGCCCCAGTGCCTGGCGGAATCTCACGTGCCCTCCTGTCACGCGCACCGGGCCGCCGGCCACCGCTCCTGCCCCCTCGCGCGCCGTCGTCCTCCTCGGCTTCCCACACTTCCCCCCCCTCAAGGCCCGGTCTTCGGGGGGGGCCCCGGGTGCTCACTGGTTTTGGCCGAGGAGTTGTTCTACCTCGGCCATGATGGCGTCGTCGGAAGTCGAGGGGGACGGAGGGGGCTGGTACACGACACTGGCCCGATGACTTGGCCCGCAGGATGTGGTGGCGGCCGGTGTTGTGGGGGCCGTCGTGGTGGCGGGTTCGATGGCCGCGGCTGCGGGAGCCGGTGCGGTGGCACGGTTTTCGGGAGGCCGGGCTGGTTGAACGGAGGCCAAGGCAGCGGGAGCCAGGAGGTCCGGGCGGCTTGCCCTCAGGGTCTGGACCGCTGCCGCCACGTGGTCCGGGAGGGGCTGTGCCTCCAGCAGGTCAGCATGGAGTCGACCTGCTTCGTGGGTTTCCAGATGTATTATGGGGACCCCGCACAGCCAGCAGGTGTCAGGCGCTCCCAAGACCCGTGGCGCCGCCGGCTGCGTGTGGCCACGGAACGGGAGTGGGACTTGGTGGTCGGGCTGGCCAGGCGTTGGTCTGGGTTGATGCTTCCAACGCCGGCGGGAAACGAAGTGGACCGCCCCTCCTTCCTCCCACGCCGTCCACGTGGCCACGGTGTGGCAGGGGGGCCGACTCCAGGCAGGTCCCCCGGTCGTAGACGGACCCGCTCCGTGGTGCGGGGGCTCCGTCGCGGACGGCCCTGCCTGGTGCCGCGATGTTGCTGCGGACGGCCCTGCCCCGTGCCGCGAAGGCCTGCCGGCTGCCGGGCTCGCGGTACCTGCGGAGCCCGGGCGGCGCTGGCCCGCTCCGCCGTTCGGCCATCCCCGGTGTTGACGCCTCCCTGGGCGGCCGCCCCGAGGGATTGGTCGACCGGACCACTGGGGTCCAGCCGCCCCGGGGCCTGGCCCGTCCGGTGGGCCTCCTGGGTGTGGCCCCCTGGGGCGGTTTCTCCAAGGAGGCATCCTGTGTAGAAAGAACACTGTCAGACACCGGAAAATCATCACTTTCTGTGGCCGAATGTGGCGGCGGCGGTAGTTTTCATTCACTATGTTCCCCATCGCGACGGTAATACCCCTTCAAGTCCGCGATGTGAACTGGACCCGACTCCTCATTTGTATCACACCGAGTGAGTTTATAAGTAAGCCGTGACATTCGCGTCTTTACCTCATAGGGCCCTTCCCATCTGTGAGCAAGCGATGCGGCGAAACCGCCAGCTGCGTTACTCAGAGGGTGGGTTCTTCTCAGGACCAAGTCACCAACCTTGAATTCCAAGTGCCTATGGCTCCTGTCATACTGCGCCGCTTGCTCGATCCTTGCGGCATCAAGATTCTCTCTAGCATCGTGCAGCGCCCCAGACAAGCGGTTCGTTAGCTGTTCCGCATACCTAGAGAGCGGGCGTCCTGGTGTTCCTTGGTTGCTCCGTAACTCGTTCTCCAGCGGAGACGGGATCTCTTTACCCAGGTTCAGAAACGCTGGCGTGAAACCAGTCGATCTGTTCACAGTATTCCGGATGGCAAAACCCATCTCAGCGATGTGCTCATCCCAGTCTCGGTGTCTCTCCGTTAGCGCGATCAGCATGCTTTTGATATTCCGATTCACACGCTCAGTGATATTGGCTTGGGGATGGTACGGTGTTGTCCTCTTGTGCTTTATGTTCAGCGCCAAGCAGGAGTCCACGAACACTTTACTAGTAAAATAACTAGCGTTATCACTAATGAGACACCTGGGTGTGCCGAAGCGTAGGAAAGTATCCAGTAACTTTTCCCAGATCCGCTCTGAAACCAGCTTCCTCAGTGGGTACAGCTCTGCCCACTTTGAGAAATGATCGGTAATAACCAAGAGGTACTGGTTTCCCCGCGGACTTCTCGGCAGTGGGCCGATGATGTCGCAAGCGACGATCTCCCACGGGTAGTGACTCTCCACCGACTGCATCAAGCCCGGAGGCTTGCCCCCTCTGGGCTTCGCTTTCTGGCAGGCTGGACAGCTGCGGGCGTATCGGAGTGCGTCTTGCCTCATCCCCGGCCAGGTCGCGGCGCGGCATAACTTATGAAAAGTCTTGCTGCCACTGCCATGACCTGCCAGAGCCGAGTCGTGGAAGTACCCGATAAACCTCTTCCGTAGCTTCCTGGGAATCACCACCCTGAAGGGAGACTCATTACTCTCCCCTTCATCGATCGTTGGGATGTAGCGAAGCAATAAGCCGTCTTCGCCCAGCAGATATGAATCAAATTGATCATTAACTCGACCGCCAGCCTTCCCGGTGTCTACCGCAATTTCAGCCAGTTTACCCAACACCCGCTGGCAAAAACCATCTGCTTTCTGGGCCTCGACAAGCTCTTCCTTGCTGACCACTTCACCCCAAGCGACGATCCTTTGCTCCTTCGTGCCGCGCGCTAAGGCTGCTACGAGTGCCGGTTGCTTCGCCTCCTCCCAACCGTCCGTGAGGGACCTCACCCCTGCATCCGGAGACATTCTCCTGTTCTTCCCGCGC